ATCTATTTCAGTTTTRCAATTTGCTTTCCACGTGGAATTTTGACCCATCTTGAAAATTTCATACATATCCTTCTGTGGAACGGGAAATTCTCTCAGGAATAGAGAGAAGAATTTTTCTCTGTCTGCGGGAATTTCAGTTTGCGGAGTCTGACATTTGAAGAATGCACTCAATRTGACAGAAAACCACTTCTGTCTAAAGTCAGAAGGACATGGGTAGGGTGTAGACAGGAGGCCATCTGGTGTGRCTGTGACTCCTCAGAGTCATGGGGACAGTTCATGTCACATCCAGGAACAGAAACAGTGTGTGAGCGGGGTCTGCCACGGGATGGGATAATCTGGGTGATGAAGAGRGAAGAGAGTTAAATGAGTTAAAGGTCAAGGAGAGGAGAGGTTTGTAWTACACTCCACTGTGGTACTAATGCCTGTTTTCTGACAGACCATCAAGTTTTGGAATTGCTTGGTACAATGGGCTTTGAGTGCCTGAACTCAGGTGAATTAAACTGAAAGTTTTCTCATTGCCTTTGACTCGATGCGTTATAAACTAATTAAATGATAAATTGATCACTTGGGGGGAAAGGCATCCACCTCCTTCTAAACAGGTAAATTGTTATGCAATAAATAGGATGTTAAAACACCTCAGTTTTGTATTCCCTGCCACAGSTCATTGACCAGAATGTGACCCCCCCAAAACCTTTCCTGTAGCCTTCAGCATCTGGGAGTTCCTGCAGTGATGCCTTTGCAGTAACTGCTCTCCATCAAACAACACTTGGATTGTTATGTGCATRCAAAACTAAAGTCACTGCCTGCTCTGTTATGAAGAAATAAATCACCCATATATGCTTCTGAATTCTGAAAAAAAAAAGAATGTTCAGTGGAATGTTCAAGAAAAACAAAACAAAGCAATGATTTCTTCTCCAGGTACCTTGAGTATCAGTTACACTGGGAGTTTTTAGAAGCGCAACAATTCACCTCCAGCTGGGTTTTTTTTTCTTTTTTTGCGTCACTTTATTTCTACTGAGTGCAAGTAGGAAAASTTCCAATCAAATATTTAATTTAATTTCAAGGGGCAAGGCAGCAGACAAGCATTATCCTGTGACAAAGTTCTGGTCCATCAAATATAAAAAGACTGCCCAGAGGGCAACCAAGGAAATTTCCTTCAGTAATCTTACCTGATGCTCTATCAGCAGAATAAAGATCTGCTCTTCTGTGTCTGCACAATCTGACAGGAGGCTCAAATTTCACTTCCTTTTGGCGATTGTTATTTTGCTCAAAAAGCTGCTGAGTTTTTTGTGGAGAGGCCATGGGTTCTTTCTGAACATGTAGTGTTTGCTGGAATGTTGAACAAGTTAGTGTATGGGCCCCTGTTTTTGAAGGAAAAGATCTGATAAAAATTCCTAACAGGACAGACTACGAAAACCCAAAACCACAGGGATTTTTTTCCCCCAGCTTTTAGGATTCAATTAGCTGCTMGTTCCAGCCTGYAATTTTGTTAAGAAGCTCTAAGAGYTAAAAAAYGCAATTTGCAAAATTGGAATCCTGTTGTTTTGGATTTTTTTTCCCCTGTTTTTGTTTGTTGTTTGTAAGTAATACTCTGTTTTTCTGTTGTTTCCATCTTGCTGGCCAGCATGCACATCAAATGCTCAGTGACTTAYAAACTATAAGGAGAAGGAGTGGAGAACTTTAAATCTCTCCAAATATATTCAGCAAATTTGGAATGTTGTGGGGCTCAGTRGGGCATGAAGCCTAAACTAATGCAGTTTTCTCCTGTTGTCTTCTGTGCCACAGTTAGTGAAGAATTTCTGTTTTAATGAAGAGAACAATCCTGTTAAGATACAGTTTTTGGCAGAACTGCACTGCTCTGTACTGACACATGGTGAATCCAGTGACTTTTGGTGTAGATTGAACACTGGGTCAAACTCTATTTTCTTAAAACATTAAGAAATTAAAATATGCCTTGTCTAGTACTGTACCAACACACCCCTGTCTCTGCAGGCCAAACCTGAATTCTGCCTGCAGTGCAATTGAGAACTCTTGGTGCYCTGCTCTTAAAATKGCTAAAAAATCCAGGAAATTGAAACAAATAACCCGAACCCCTCTGGTTCTGTGTCCAGAATAAAAGATGGTGTGACAAACTTTCAGGAGCTGTGRCACACCCTGTGCCAGCCTTGGTCCTGCACTGCTGTGAGCTAGGCTGGGGTCTGCCTCAAAACCCTTTCTAACCTTCAGAAAGAGGCTTTTAAAAACCTGAATTTGCTCTTCAGGTGTGGCTTGCATGCATATGAAAGGAGTTTTATTTTGTTTTGTTTTTGATTCTTTTCTTCGTAAAAGACCTCTCAAAAAATCCCGTTATTTAAGGAATGAGTGCTCAGAGGTGGACTTTAATWTATACTTTCTTGTACTGCTTTACAGAAACTTAGGAAAGGTTTTTTTCCTGAAGTGAAGGGCAAAATTTTCCCTTTGAATTACCCCGTGTGTGTCTGAAAAGCTGTTAGCTGTGTCCTGTGTTTGGCAGCAACTGGAGGCAGTGATACCTATGAAGTGTATTAAAGGTGACATAATAGAGTGTGAAAAATGTGTGTGCTTTCCTTGAGACTGCAATGTTTTATAATTTTTTAACTYGTGTCTCCCAAATCTGTACATTTGATGACGCTCACTTTGGATTTGTAAAAGTGAAAAAACAAAATCCAGTGTCAACTCTGAACATGACTAAAGTTTCGTGTATCACATATCCTTTTAATATTATAAATAAGAGGTATTAAGGCAAAGAAAAGCTGTTTGTTCACTGTTTTGAATTTCACCCAGCTAGAAAAATCAGTTCTGTATCACTCAGAATAAACAGCTAATTTACTTTTTAGGTTTCTGAATTTATCTCTGAAATCCTCTTGTCAAGTGTGTATTGATAAATACATGTTCCAGCCAAAATATAGATGTTTTATTTTTGTGTATTAGCATTTAGATGCTGCTCTTGTGAATCAGAGAAGACAGGCAACAGAATTCAGATCCTTTCCTCAGAAAACYCTTTATTTAATTTAAGTATTTTTCCTTCTTTTAGCAACTCTGGGCTAAGCATGTTTCTAAAGTGAGTACATCTTTGGAAAGCGCACAGAAAACAAATCGTTTGTAAAGGGGAAAATTCCGTTGTGTGAAAAAGTTAACAGAAAACATTTCAGARTTTGTCAAGTCATATACAATATAACATATAACGGTCCTGAAGAYTGTATTACAGCTGTAGTAGTGTGAAAAGGATGTGACCTTAGGAGCAGGTGCCACTCTGGATTCCAGGTTCCAGTCACTTGGAGGCCCCAGGGCTTGCTGTGTGTAAGGAAAAGTGAGGCAGGAAAGTGCTCATTTCATTAGCAGGGCACACCAGGGCAATGTCTGATCTCTCATCAGCTAAAAGAGAAGGTCTTGGAGCATTCTAATTCCAGCCCAGTCCCCTGCCCAGGATTCTTCCTATCTCTCTGTCCTATGAGCTTTTTGTAGTGCCAGGGAGACACAAATTTGGGAAAAGTCCTTCTGCTGCAGCTGTGGGGAAGGGATGCAGCAGTTCAGGGTCAAACCTGCTCCCCATCCGTGTTTTTCTGCTGAATTTGGCCCTGGTGCCAAGGAAGCGATCCTGTTTCTGCCCTCATCACTCATCTCACTCTCGGGTTTGTTCCAGCAGCAGTTTTTGTGCAGCTGTGGGTTGGATGAGGAGATTGCCTCACACCAAACCAAAATGCTTTTCCCTGGTGCTGAACAGATCACTATCCCAGGTGGGGTTCCCTGTTCTCACAGAGGGTGAGTGCAGGGACACAAATGGGGGAAGTGGGCTGGATTGCTTATTTTACAGCTGACAGAGTAAGTCAGCTAAAAATATTTGTGAAACTCCAGCCTCAGACTCTGTTCCAGGAAAAGTTTCCCTGGAAATGTTGCTTTGATTTGGTTAGGAGGACTACTCATCTGTGGGCCATTCCGTGTGGAACAGGAATTTTCCTTTGGTGGCTTGTGGTGCTCACTTCTATCAAAAGGGTTAAGGACAATGGTGAAAAAATCAGACTGAAAGGCTGAATTTGGGAAAAAAACCCTTATGCAATTTAGTCTTTTTCATGTTGATTKTTCTTAGTTTGACATGTTTCTAAACAGGACAATCCATCCCAGTGGATTTCTTCCCTTKCAGGGGACCCTTCTCATGGCTTTCAGCAACAAAGAAAAACCTGCCTACTGGTCATGCATATCTGAAGGTTGGCTAGAGTCAAAATTACTTATTTAAAATATTTAAGTCACTACTTACTATTAGAGGCCTGCTATTTATTTTCTGTCTGCTCGATTATTCAAAAATATTTGGGGTTTTTTCCTTTGCTATTTTTTTTTGCCCCTCATTGTAATATGATTTTGGATGTCTCTCTTTCCACTCGCTGTGTTGAAAGTAAAAAAAAAAAACAAACACGTCTAATCTTTACTTTGTTACTGTTGTGGCTGTGGACACAATTACTGTGGATTGGGGGGAGAAAAAAGGGGGGGAAAAAAAAAAGACAACAGCCACATCCCTTGTTCTATCTTTCCATAGAAAAGCCGCGGTTACCCTAAGACAATGTTCGGCCTCAAAGGCGAACCCTGGTGTTTCTGGTCGCTGAGGTGAGCTTACCTACAAAGGAGCAGGGCACCGCAATAACACCCAGTGACGAAAGGTGCGGGCGGAAGATGCGAAAAGAAGCTGTTTGGAGGATTTTGCTTTTTGAATTGTTGTTGTTGCTGTTAGTTATTTATTTCGCTGTCTCCGTGGGTGAGCGGGGTGCGCGGTGCGGGGGTCCCGGGGGGCTCCGGGTTTGCCCGTCCGTGACCCGGGGAGAGCCGCTCCAGCCGCCTCGGAAATGCAGCGCTGGGGAAATGCAGCGCTGGGGAAATGCAGCAGCGATCGCTCGCTCGCTCGCTCCCTCCCTTCCCTGCCCGGGGGGGTGAAGTGCGAGGCAGCGGGAGGAGCCGTGCGTGTGTGTGTGTGTTGTATGTGTGTTCTGTGTGTGTGTGTGTGTGCGAGCAGCGCGCCGTGGCCGCCGTGTTTCCTGGTGCCTGCTCCCTGACCCCAGTGGCAGCCCCGATCACTGCACCGCGCCCGCCCCCGCCGCCGCCCCGCTGCCTCTCCCCGCAGCCGGAGCCACAGCCGGAGCCACAGCCGGAGCCGGAGCCGGAGCCAGGGCCGCCGAGAGCCGCCGGGAGCCGCCGCGGGGTCGGGCGCAGGCTCTGCCCCGGCCGCGCCCCCGCAGCCCCATGGAGCGGCCCCGCTGAAAGCATCCCCGAGCCGCCCGCAGCGGCAGCCGGCGGAGGGAGGGAGGGAAGGAAGGTGAGCGGCCCCGGGCCGGTGTCGGGAGCGGCGGGGCACGGCGRGGGCAGCGGCGCACAAAGCGGCGGGTTAGAGGTGCCGTGTCATGGGCGAGAGCGGAGAGAGGGGGGGCGGGCAGGAGCTCCGGCGGCGGCGGCGGGTCCAGCCTCCCGCGAACAATAATGAGGATATCAACCCCCGGTGTGACCGGCCGAGCCCGCGGGTCGGGTCGGGTCGTGTCGGTGCGGC